GAAGTAAAGCTATCCCTGTACTACATGCATCTCTTTGCTGAAGAAACCAGGGGAAAATGAAGGATTTTAGAAAATGTAAGTATTACGAATGATTAAAATGCATGTAGTTCTCAAGAGTTGATTAAATAATAAAACATAAACAAAATATATATATGTGGCATTTAATAGGGGAAGCTGAGTTATCTAAAGAGAAAAATCTAATATGTACAATAATGCATTCACTAACGATGATGAATAAATGAGGTATTTAAGGGTTTATTAGACATGTGACTTAAGAAAAATCCAACCTAGAAATATAAGACAAACAATAAGCAACATTAAGAAGTTTAACAGTTAAAAGTAACTTACAGAAAACTGTAATTTAAATGAAAGTATACTCAAGAGGAAAAAGAATTTGCAATTATTTCTCTTTAAATTACTACTGGCATCTACATCTCCCCAGTGTCTTAAAAATTCTGGACACAAATAACCTTATTCTCCCTAATGAAAAATATAAAACATATTTATGTGAATTTAAAAACAGGCCGGGCACAGTGGCTCACAACCTGTAATCTCAGCACTTTGGGAGGCCAAGGCGGGCTGATCACTTGAGGTCAGGAGTTCGAGACCAGCCTGGCCAACATGGTGAAACCCCGTCTCTACCAAAAATACAAAAAATTAGCTGGGCGTGGTGGTGTGTACCTGTAGTCCCAGCTACTTGGGAGGTTGAGGCAGGACAATCACTTGAGCCTGGGAGACGGAGGTTGCAATGAGCTGAGATCGCGCCACTGCACTCCAGCCTGGACAACAGAGACAGACTGTCTCAAAAAACAAACAAACAAACAAAAAACCAGGTATGATAAATAGCAAGTATGTAGGTATCCATTGTAGTACTCCTAATATTTTTTCAAAGATGCGCATGATTTTATTATAGACAATTTAAAAATATGTGTGTATGTGTATAAATGTCAAAAAAACAGGTATAAACCATTTCTAACCCTGACAAGTGATTTAAGATTTTGGCCACAGTATAAAGACCACAATTTTATAAATAAAAGACTTGTATTTTCAATGCTGACAGTCAAAATACAAACTCTGACGTGTTTTCGAAGGAAAATCAGGACAATAATATGTACCCTTCCTTCTTAACAGGGTTCTCATGAGGATCAAACACCAGATGCAGTTACATAAAAGCATGCTAAAACTACAAAATAGTATACGGTTTTAGCAATTCTCTACCTGTACTTAAGGTACAGTTTTTGAATCGCTGGAATTTTATTTCTGTATGATTTTCTTAACAAAACAGTAAAAGGTAAGGGAAAGTAGTAGTACTTTGAAGAGCAGTACTACTCCTCCTTCATTAAAACATTAAAAATTATTAAAGCTAAAAAATGTAAACTTACAATGACTTATTACATCACATTCAATGTAATTTCAGCAAACAACTGTCATTCATGTTTAGCAGGATAAATACAGAATTGCGAAGTAGGTTAGCTAAAGGAAATATCACATGGAAGATGAGTGGGAGGGGAACTTTTTTGAATCATGTGAATTTTTTAACCACATGCATTTATAATCTAGTCAAAATATGCAATAAAATTTTTTTTAAAAATTAAGTCAATGCAAGTCTACGAGGAGACCACATTGTCATTATTTGTTGGGGTTTAGTGGATGACATTTTTCTCTTTATCTCCATTTTTGGCATAAGTCTGTGTGCAATAATAAAAAAGATTTCAAAGCTTTAGGTTTTTTCAAGTAGCAAGTGATTAGTAGTGTACCTATAATGTAGGTGTTTATACATTCTGTTAATCCTTATTCAAAAAAGGATAGGCAAACATAAAAAATATGTAAATCTACTAGTTGTCAACATTGGGTGAATAATTTATGTATGAATACCAGTTGAAACAAAATTACTGACAATTCAAAGAAAACCATGGAAAAGTACATTTTAAAATTTAATCGATTAGTTTACCATCAAAATTATAGTCTATTTTCTTAACTTTGCAATTATTATCTACCTGCTGCCTTGTCAGCACCCGAAATTCAACATTTCTAGATTAACAAATATTAAAAAGTTGGGAGGCTCACATGTATCTGTTTCAGAGTCTCCAATGTGACCTCCCCATTCTAGTCCTATCTCTCTGAGCCATGATGCACACTCACTAAAATTGAATTAACACCTGTAATGTAGGATTTCAAATGAGTGGAAAGTCCACACTAAATTAAAATTTTACTCATCTTTAAAAGCTTATACATATGAATAAAAGGCTATAAAGCTCTTGCAGATTAAAAAATACTCTGTGTTTTCAAATTTTTCTTTTTTTTTTTGAGACGGAGTCTCGCTCTGTCACCCACTCTGAAGTGCAGTGGTGCGATCTCAGCCCACTGCAACCTTGCCTCCCGGGTTCAAGCAATTCTCCTGCCTCAGTCTCCCAAGTAGCTAGGATTGCAGGCATGTGCCATTGCGCCTGGCTAGCTTTTGTATTTTCAGTAGAGACGGGTTTCACCATGTTGGCCAGGCTGTCTTGAACTCCTGACCTCAAGTGATCTGCTCACCTCAGTCTCCCAAAGTTATGTGATTACAGGCATGAGCCACTGTGCCTGGCCTAACATTTTGCATTTTTCATGTAAATTAAGGCTAATAAAGACCAGTTTTATCTCTAACCAAGAAGTTTTAAGTTAAATTGATCTGTAACCACACACACACACACACACACACACACACACACACACACTCTTCAAGGGTACACAGTTCTACTTTCTACTAGTGGTAACTCTCCTTTTCCACTTTAATTATGAAGAAAATTATTTACACAGCTGACCCTTGAAGACAGGTTTGAAATGTGTGGGTCCACTTATATATATGGATTTTTTTTTCAATAACATTTTTCAGAGATTTCAACAATTTGAAAAAACCTGCAGATGAAACACATAGCCTGGAAATATCAAAAAGTTAAGAAAAAGTTAGATTTATGTCATGAATACATAAAATGTATGTAGATTATTAGTCTGTTTTATCATTTACTGACATAAAATATACACAAATCTATTATAAAAAGTTAAAATTCATCAAAACATATGCACACAAACCTTAAGACCAGACATAATACCACTTGTAGTCAAGATAATAAACAAATGCGAAGATGCAGCATTAAATCAGTTACGTAATATTAACTGTAGTACACACTATACTACTGTTAAAATCTCATAGCTAACTTTTGTTGCTACTGCAGTGAGCTCAAGGGTTGCAAGAATCTATTTAAAACACCGTGTGACACTAATCATCTCTGTATGATCAGCTCATCTCTCCAGTAAACTGTATATTGCAATCAAAAGCTCTCTCTCACTCTCTCACGGTTCTTGTGTATTTTTTTTCTTTTCTTTTTCTTTTTTTTTTTTTTTTGAGACACAGTCTTGCTCTATCACCCAGGCTGGAGTGCAGTGGCACGATCTTGGCTTACTGCAGCGTCCGTCTTCTGGGATCAAGCGATTCTCCTGCCTCAGCCTCCCGATTAGCTGGGATTACAGGCACATGCCACCATGCCTGGCTAATTTTTTGTATTTTTAATACAGACAGGGTTTCACCGTGTTAGCCAGGATGGTCTCGATCTCCTGACCTCGTGATCTCATGATCCGCCCGCCTCGGCCTCCCAAAGTGCTGGGATTACAGGCGTGAGCCACCGCGCCCAGCCCTCTTGTGTATTTTTCACTGTGCTTAATGCAATGCTGTAAACCTTAACACCATGAGACCCATATGAAGTGCCAATAGTGATGATAGAAGTGCTTTCAAGAAGTGGAGAAAAGTCATGGATGTTATAAGAATAAGGTGACTTGCTTGATATGTACAGTAGATATGTACAGCTATAGCTGCTGGCCATTTCAGATGCTTCATCTTGTAAACCGACAACATAAATGTATAGTACCAATAAATACAGTACTGTAAATGTATTTTCTCTTCCTTATGATTTTCTTGATACATGTTCTTTTCTCTACTTTATTGTAAGAATATACTATATAATACATACGCAAAATATGTGTTATTGACTGTTTATGTTATGGGTAGGGCTTCTGGTCAACAGTGGGCTACATTATCGAACGGTCAACTGTATCCTTAACCTTTTTTCCTGAAATACAACTTTCAACACATTCTAACTTTAGCTAAACAACTTTAGCTAAAGAACTTCAGCCATTACTCTTTCAACTCCTTTATGTTCACAGACCAGGAGGTAGACCTCAGAAGTATATTTAGTGTTCCTTCTAATATTCTTTCCAGCCCCCATTCCTACAGCTTTGCCTATTTCAAACTCGTATCACTCAATAACTCCTCTGGTATACACTTACTAAACTCTTGACCACAATGATTTTAGTACTTTGTTCTCCCAACCTCTCTTTTTATCCTGACCAACACATCATCTTCAATGAATTCAGCTCCTGTTTTACTGGGAACCCTGAGGTCATCCAATATGAACACTCAAAATTCCCTTCTCCCATCTTAAAATTGCTTCATGCTTGATGTCTCTTCCTGTTCTACGAGGTTCTATTTTGGGCAAGTGCTTTATTAATTATCTCCTATCTGGCATGTGCCGTTATTCTCTCCACTTGTCTCTAAATAATATGCTCAAGTAATCTTTAATCTTTATCCAAGGCCGGCAAACAACTGAAAGACCAAAAACACACACTCTCCCTAGATTCTGTACCTCTCTCAAACTATCAGCCGCCCTCTCTATAAATAGCAAATCTTGAGACGCTCTTACTCCTTAATCCAGAGAAATTGATTATGAGGTTGATTTCTTTTTGGAGGGGAGGGGGCGTGTCATGGTCTCACTCTGTCACCCAGGCTGGAGTGCAGTAGTGCAATCTTGGCTCACTGCAACCTCTGCCTCCTAGGTTCAACCCCCTCAGCCTCCCGAGTAGCTAGGAGTACAGGAGCCTAACACCAAGCCCTGCTTGCTTGCTTGCTTGCTTGCCTGCTTGCTTATTTATTTATTTATTTATTTAGTAGAAACGAGGGTTTTGCCACATTGCCCAGGCTGGTCTCAACTCCTGGACTCAAGAAATCTGCCTTGGCCTCCTAAAGTGTTACGATTACAGCCATGAGCCACCATGCCCAGTCGAGGCTGATTTCTTAATGGTCATTAGTGCTTTCTCAACAAACTACCCTACTGGCTGCTGGCTGATCTTTTTTTTTAAACATTTCACTGAAAACTTTTTATTGGCCTTATGGGTAGAAATGAGAATTTATTTGCCAGGAAGGATGATCCCATCATACTTTTGCTGAAACCAGTGCACGGCCTACTCTTTGCTGATTCTATTTGGCACCACTGCAGCCTGTCCTGCACTCCTTACCTGCCATGATGAAACGTGGCTTTTCCAGCACCTCACAGAAGTCCAGGCTGTAGACACCAATGCTTGGGTCATATTTGATACCTAGATCAATGTGTTCCTGGGTCCCAAAACCAAAGTTTCCAGTATCTGAGAAGGTATTTTTTCTTAACTCACACTCATGCATCTTTAGACCATTCTCCAAGATTTCATCTGCCTTGGCCCCTCGAACTGTGCAGCAGACAACAGTCTTTTAATTTCTTCTATTGCCAAAAGGGCTAACAGTATTATCTAGCTTTGGAAAACACCAGGTCTGACCTGTAAGCTGCTCCAACACCTTAGTTACTCAGGTCAATCTGTCTCCACTTTCTCCTAAACAGATGTTGAAGCAGAGCCTGCAGATGCAAAGTTCCTGCATGGTGTTATCCTTTTCACCTTGATGCCGCACCACGATGGAGAACAGGAAGACCCTGGCTGATCTTTCTGCATCCATTCTGAAACTTCCCTGCTTCTGTCATAGGACTTACTCTCTTAAGGTTTCTTTCAACCCTTATTGGTTGTCTCTTCTCTTGTCCCTAAATATAGGCCTATCTCAAAAGAGTCTCCCCTCTGTCAATCCAATCTATTCCAGTGCTTTACCAATTTTACACAATAACTCCAAAACTTATCTCCTTCAACATGACTTTATTCCCAACTGCCAGTGCAGAATTCCAACATCTGGCTGGAATTTCTACCTGGTAATCTCAGAAATACTTACAACACGCATTTCCAAAAACTGAAGCTTTTTAACTTGGAAAACCCCCTTCTTTCCATCAATAGATATTCACTATTTTCTCCAGCACTTGATGGCCTTCTAATAACTAACACCACCACCACTTACTGAGCCCATACCATATTCTTTGTATTGTTCTAAATCTCTTTAGAAATACATAATTTAATACTCATAAAACCATGTAGGGTAGGTACGATTGGCAAACCATTTTATAATGAGGTAAGGTCATATATCTTCATAAGTAATGGAACTAGATATAATCCCAGCACTCAAACTCCACAGCTTCTAGTCAACTACTATATGATCCTGCCATCTTCTTTCTGCTTGAGGAAGGAAACACAGTTGAGAGACAGCAGTAATATCACAGGGTTATAGAAAAGAGAAGTGAGGGAACTCTAGCACTGTGGCAAAGGTCCAGGCAGCAGAGGGGAGCTAACAGACACAGTCAGCATATTAACTACCTGGCACATACATACATGGATACACACTAATGGTACACAATAAAATGAGACAAATCATAGATTAAGTTCATTTAGTATACTCATCTTTGATTCCTATGCATCTACTCAGCTGCCAAAATCCAGATCTTGATTCCAAAATACTACTCAAAATGTCAGTTTCAGTTTTCTGTGGCCTATTTCAGTTTCTTCCTGCAATTCCGCCATAGCCAACTGATTTATCACCCTTTATCCATTCTGTAATCTATCCTTTATACCACTCTTAGATTAATTTTTTTTAAAGTTAAGATTAATCCAATTACCAATTAATTCAAAATGTTATTCTACCCAAACAAGAGCAATTTATCACACACTATAATTCAATCACAGCATAAAAATACAGCTCCAACCTCTTTTTCCACTCTTACCTCTCACAATTCCCTTGAATGTACTCTTACTTTGGCCAAATAGAAATATTTAATTTTCCCTAAACTGTACCTTCTGGTTTTCTTTTTACATATATGCTACCTTTATCAGATTAAGGTATAAGGGCTACATAAGCAGCCACCTGTGAAGTCTTACATATTTTCTAGCACCTGGTCCAATTTAGATAACATAATTACCTGACACTTCAAGGTTTGATAAGCAGCCACCTGAAATGCAATTTAAACCAGGTATTTCTTGAGGGCTCCTAGACATTTTCATTATTGCAGGGTCTGTTCAGATTTTGTCTCTCTCCTTAAAGCATTTACAATAACATATTCACTGAAAATTGCCCATTTCTCACTGAAATTTCCAAAATGATTAGCACAGACCTGAATATAATTTTTAACATCACCTCCACACTGTAGTTTTATCTCCTTTCTCGTACTTAATGTCTCATTTTTAGTTTCCCTCTTTTCTTTTATCCTTGACTGGCTTTTAAAAATATGTATTGATTTTATTGGCATTTTCAAGCAATCAGTATTTAGATTTATTAGTTCAAATGGTTTACTGTTTCCTAATTCATTAACATTTTTGCCTTTATAAATCTCTACTTGTTATTAATCTTGATTTCTAATGTAAATTTACATTTCCTCATTGAATCAAAAATTATTTAAAACATGATTTTATATTTCCATATAAATTTAAACATTAAAAAAAATTCCAGTTCTAATGAATTGTAATCAAGAAATGGGACTTATATATTTTTATTTTCGAGTGAGATTTTGTTTTGTAGTTGGTCTAATTTGTAAGATTGGTAATGTTCATGACAGAAAAAAATACATTTCATTATTTTATTATTCAAGCCACCTATATATCTACAGTTATATGTTGCTTAAGAGAAACTGCATCTGGGTGATTTCATCACCGTATCATATAATATACTTATACAAGCCTAGATGGTATAGTTCACTACACACCCAGGCTATATGATACAGCTCCTGAGCTACAAACCTGTTTAGTAAGTTACTGTATTCAATATCATAGGCAACTGTAACACAATGGTATCTGTGTATCTAAAAGATAGAAAAGGTTCAGTAAAAATGGTATAAAGGACATAAAAACAGTACACCTGTATAGGGCACTTACCACGAATGGAGCTTGCAGGACTGGAAGCTGCTCTGGGTGAGTCAGTGGGTGAGTGGTGAGTTAATGTGAAGGCCTAGGATATTACTGTGTACTACTGTAGATTTTATAAACATGCTACTCTAAATCTATTTTAAAATTTTTTCTTTCTTCAGTAAATTAACCTTAGCATTTTATAACTTTTCACTTTATAAACATACAAAAATTTAACTCTGACTCTTTTGTAACATTTAACTTAAAAACATTACACAGCTACACAAAAACATTTTTTCTTTGTATCCTTATTCTGTAAGATTTTTTCTATTTTTTAATTTTTTTTTTTTACTTTTTAAACTCTTGTTAAAAACTAATAAATACACACATACTTTAGCCTTGGCCTCTACAAGTCAGGATCATCAATATCACTGTCTTCCACCTATACATCTTGTCCCACTGGAAGGTCTTAAGGGGAAATAACACCCATGGAGCTGACATCTCCTATGACAACAACGCCGTTTTCTGGAATACCTGCTGTAGGATCTGCCTAAAGATTATTTTATAGTTAACATTTTTTAATAAGCAGAAGCACATGTTAAAATAATAAAATAGTACTGCAAACATGTAACTAGTAACATATTCGTTTATCATTATAAAGTATTACGTGCTGAACATAACTGTGCTATGCTTTTATACAACTGACAGTACAGTAGTTTCCTTACACCAGCATTACCACGAACATGTCAGTGATACATTGCATTGCAACGGTTTCAACATCACTAAGTAATAGAAACTTTTTAGTTCCATTTTAATTTTACAGGACCATTGTCAGGCGTTGACTCAAACATCATTATGTGGCACATGACTGTATCTTCTTTCTTTGTAAGTTCTGAAGTACCATAAAGATTCCTATCATTGCTTTTCTACCAATTATTCTTCATTTTTTTCAGCTTTTGCTTAATACATTTTGATGTTATGTTTAGCACACTGGTTCATAACTGCTAAGTCTTTACCTGGAGTATATACCCTGCGTTAATGTAAAATGACATTTCTGATCCAGTTTAATGCTTTTTGCTTTAAATGCTACTCTGATACTGAGATTCTGTCATCTGCTTTTGAAACTGAAATTTGCCTGATGTATCTCCAATCCACCATTAATTTTTAACCTTAGTTTTATGTAAATCTCTTGTGATTAATCTCTTAAAAAACACATTTAAAAGTACAGATTATATACATCTTTCAGACCTAAAATACTGCCATACTACCACCAGAACAGAATACTACTTTAATATCACAGCACAAGATATGTAATGTTTTGTTCATATTCTATGCATCAATATTTATCAATACTCCGATCATCTTCTGAGAAGATGAATCATGAATTTATAATCTACATTCCTCAGTTAAAAAAGCAATTTTCTATTTCAGTAAACTTTCCACCGGCACTGCTAAACTTAGAAATAATGTAGATGTTTCAACATAATAGTGTTTGCTTGAAGCTCGGAAATCTATGTTTCAGGATGATCACAGTAAGATTACTATAGGAAAGCAATTCAATAAAGGAAGAAACATGGCTATTATTACAATGACAACATACAGCAGCTTTTCGTATATTAAGGTACTTGCCATCATTTTATATATCTTTAACACTACCACAACTTTACAAGATAGATATCATTGTCTCTATTTTAAGGATCAGAAAACAGTCCTACTGCACATAATTATCTCATTCAAAACCAGGATCTGGACCTCAATGTGAATATAAGGGTAAAACTTGTACTCAGCTGTCCTGGGTTTTACTAATAGCATGTATAGAAACTATGTGATTTGAACGAAGTCACAACTTCTTTGAGCTCTTATTTTTTCTGTCTATGAAGAATCTCTGAAGTTTAGGGTGTTACAGTATTTCACTTATATGAAACTAATTATTGAGAATAAATGTGAAGCAGACAACTGATATTTTTTTCTCTTTCCAACATTCTTTCCCCTCCTCGATTTTTCTTTGGAAAACTATTATTATCCCTGTGTGGCAGGCTCTATACTTCAGCTTTAGATACATGTCCCAGAGAATTCCATTCCCTGGCCAGAATATTTGGTTCAGGAATAGGTATGTGCCTCGATCCAGGGAAATCAGAACTCACCCTATAAATTTTTGCTCAAATTGTAGCTCTCTTCCCATCATAGTTGCTAAAGTAGGTAGAATGCAAACTTGAAGCTATTAGGAACTATATCTCGCCACTACTTGTTACAGCCTGTTTGAAAATAACATATATACAGAAGAGAGAAAGGAGGAGAAGGGTAAGGGAGGAAGAGAGAATGAGATACTCTTGAGATCTGTTGAGCACCTAGATCCAGGCCAGAGCTTTTAGGTTATGTAAGTCCTTTTATTTAAGCTACCTTGAGTTGGGTTTTTCTGATTTAAAACTGAAAAAGTCCTCATATATTATAAAGGAGTTGCTTTTTATTTTTCTAAGTTTCTATTTCTACTTTAGGATTCAAAATAATAAAGAAAAATAATTTGGACTGTAGAACATAATTTCGTAGAAAAAAATACCAGGTTTGAGGTTAGAAGATGTGGTTTTTAGTTATTACACAAAAAGATTATATGACTTAGAACAAGTTGATCTTTGTAGATCTGTTTGTTTTGTTTTATTTTGTGAAACAAGGTCTCGATCTGTTGCCCAGGCTAGAGTGCTGTGGTATAATCATGGTTCACTGCAGCCTCAACCTCCAGGCTCTGGCAATCCTCCCACCTCAGCCTCCCAAGTAGCTAGAACTACAGGCATGTGACACCATGCCCGGCTATTTTTTAAGTTTTTTTTTTGTAGAGACAGCGTCTCACTATGTTGCCCAAGCTGGTCTTGAACTCCTGGGCTCAAGCAATCTTCCCGCTTGAGTCTCCCAAAGTGCTGGGATTACAGGTATGAGTCACCCAACTCTGCAAATCTGTTTTATCATCTATGTTAGAATGGGTTTGAATTAAATAATTGCTAAGATCCTTCAAGGTATGAAAGTTCTACAATTTTATTGTATTATATAACAGCCTTAATGTGGATCATAGTAACACAATTTGGCCCAGGAAAATTAATGTGTTAAGAAAAATAAGAACATTACATTGGAAGATTTTTTAAAAGACAGTAATTATCGTTTGTTTTAAATAAAGAGGAGGTAAGAAAATTTCATTAGGTTACAACATGTAGAAATTTAGTAAACAGGCTAGAAGAAATAACCTGATTTAAGATTAGGTCATGAAAATTCATTCCCCAGAGAAACTAAAAATTTTCCTTTTCTTGAGATCACTTAAAGTTAACAACTATTATTTCTGGAAGATTTGTCTTTATTAAGAATAAGCTCAATGAACTCATGTACACAGAGTTCCTAATAGAGAGAAACTTTATCTCTAATAATTTATTTAAAAACAGAAAGAAAATTAAAAGCGGCTCAGACTTTTTTCCTAAAAGTTTAACCAAAGAAAAAATAAGAGGCCAGGCACAGTGGCTCATACCTGTAATCCCAGCACTTTGGGAGGCCAAGGTGGGCGGATCACTTGAGGTCAAGAGTTCAAGACCAGCCTGGCCAACAGGGAGAAACCCCACTTCTACTAAAAATACAAAAATTAGCCGGGCTTGGTGGCACGCACTTGTAATCCCAGCTACTCCAGAGGTGAGGCAGGAGAATCACTTGAACTCGGGAGGTGGAAGTTGCAGTGAGCTGAGATCTCGTCACTGCACTCCAACCTAGGTGATAGAGTGAGACTGTCTCAAAAAAAGAAAAAAAAAAAGGGAAATATGAATGTTTACTTTATGTGCCATCATTCTGGAACACAGTTGGGGGTATGCATGTGACAAGGAGAAGGCAAGGGAGAGGGAAACAGCAGTAGTGATTCTAAGTAACTTTCTCATGAAAAAGGAGTTTACCTCTTTAAACTCAAATTTTGGTAGTCCTTTCAAAAATACACATTTACTAGCATTCTCAGGATGTTTTAACTCTTTCTTCATAGTTTAAACATGTGAGTTATCTAATACTGAAACTTAAGTGCAGATGCAGACAGTGTGGGGCATAGGGCTAGACGAGAACCAACGCTGAAAGTTGCCCTGCGGCATGCTTTCTTGGAAGAAAAAAACACCAACAGCTTGCTTTTGAATAATCTTCACATGTTCATAAAGCAAAAGTATCAAATATACAAATGAATGACTCCTAAGGAAGTGTAACACAATTGTCTTCTTGTAAATTAGTGAATAAGACAGAAGGAGCCTTCCTTCCCTCAAGCAGTTACCTCACTCTCAAAACATTTTTCTTTATAGTATCAGTTGTCTGACTTCTCTGCAACACTCAAAACCCAAAGTATTATTTGGACATTACTAACCTAATGCTTTATTTTATAGTCAACTTGTACCCACCACTCTGCCATCTAATTTGCACCATGTCTGCTGAGGATATGTCAAGATTCTGAGCCAGATTATTTTGAAGAGACCTCTACAAAGTCTACAAATTCTTTACCAAAATATGAGACTGCCTCATCTCTCTTCAAAAAAGGGGGAAAAAAGATTCTTCTTCTATATAAATGTCACTAGAACATAATTTTCTCCAGCTTCTTAATGTTTGTCTATGATTAAAATTAAGGATATAAGCAAAATAACATTAAAGATGATTCTAATAAAAGTTAACCCCATACAAACTGAAAAGTAGATAAAATATATGTATCTCCTATAATGGAGATTCACAATTACAAAAATGCAAATCCACAGGCTCAATCTACAAGGAAATACTGACAAGAAGAGAATAAACCTATTATGAGATATTCCAATAATAAAACTACTTTAGATAATCAATTACATTTATTATAAGACAGTTACTCCTCAGGAAGAACTCCACAGCTGTATAACAACAGCTTTACCATGCTTAGCTAAGTTTTCTTATGATGAAGTTAGCTATTCATAAAAGATTAAAAATTATTTCACTAGTATTCTAACCAATAGGCAAACAAGGGATATCTTTGAAAGTTTTAAAACAATTACATTTCAAGTATTTTACAGGAGGCTGCAGTATTTATTTCCAAGACCAACAACCTCAATCTGTCCAAATTCTCTTTAAATCAGGGGTCATTAAATGCTTTAGCATTTGTAAGGAAGGGTATAAGCTGAGGAGCCTTTCAAAATAGACCAATTCTATCAGCATTTCATAACCTTGCAGGAAAGCCTGACCCTAAACAGAGATTAATTATTTTGAACAGTCTGAAAATTCTTTTGCACTTCCAGGATTTGTGGACTTGATAGTATAGAAAGAAATTTAACGGTATATAAGAGGACTCAAATTTTCCTCTGAATGCTAATATGAACTGGATAATATTGATCACAACACTTCCCCTTTCTGGGCCTGTTTGATCATCTATAAGAAACATTCCTGGAAGGAAAAAACAAAAAAAAAACAAAAAAAAACCACCATTGACTTTAATCCATATCTAGTTTTCTAATGCTGTTTCAATCTAAACACAAATGCTACTGTTTAGTCAAATATGGTCAACAGCATCTGCTCCTACATTTCTTTTTGCCTTTTTAAATAAACACAGAGATAAAGAAGGTAGGAACACATTAGGATACTCCTTTAGATCCTGTGAATAATTCATCCGAAATATGGTCTAAGTACATTAAGCATCAGCCAAGTATAGTAGATTTCAGTTATTTATTTTGATTCCAAGATACAAAAAGTGATCAACTTCAGCGAAATTACTTAACACTGAGTCTTAATGTTATATAACAGCTAAACATAACAATTTTAATATTTACATTCTTACACCCTTAACACTCTATGTACAGATCTCCATTTTCTATTTACTAATAGCCCATCATCTCCTTTCACTTGGGGGATCCAACCTATACAAAGGACGGAGAATATATGGCGACTAGAGCAGTTCTACTGATGAAGTAGATACTATTACATTTTACCACATGATACTATAAACTTTGCATTTTATTTTCATAACTACTATTCTTGCTAGCTTTCATTCTGGCCCTATTTCACAAAATCCTACAGGACTTATGATTTCATCAAATAGTCTCTCCTCACCTCTGAAGAGAAACAGAATTGATAGTATTACAAGACTGTAATGACTAGAATATCTTCCCGCTGGCAAATTTAAAATATGTCCTTACTTTTTGATTATGGAGCCTTCTCTTGGATTTAATTTGAACTGGAAACAGAAAATAAAATACAATAAAGTTTAAGTATCCTTGGGTTTTACTTTTATCCCTGAACATGATGAGATGGACTGTCCCAAGTCCTTCTTAAATGGCAAGTTCTCACCATCAGCAGAGCACAGCCAAATATTCTGAAGAAGCAGCTACATCAGACAGGGTATGTGTGCATATGTGTGTGGCTGGGAGTGTGTAAGAGGGAGAAAAAGAGACCACATGTGAGAGCACAGTTAGTTGGAAAGTCTAGACCATTACAAAAACTATTTGTTCCAATTAAAACTCCTGATTAAATCATCTACTAGGCTATTGACTATAATGCTAAACAAATAAAAATGTCACACAGTTGAACGGTGATGGCAAGTATCTTAGAAAGAGTCAAACATGGCCGGGCGCGGTGGCTCAAGCCTGTAATCCCAGCACTTTGGGAGGCCAAGACGGGTGGATCACGAGGTCAGGAGATCGAGACCATCCTGGCTAACACGGTGAAACCCCGTCTCTACTAAAAAATACAAAAAACTAGCTGGGCGAGGTGGCGGGCGCCTGTAGTCCCAGCTACTCGGGAGGCTGAGGCAGGAGAATGGCGTGAACCCGGGAGGCGGAGCTTGCAGTGAGCTGAGATCCGGTCACTGCACTCCAGCCCGGGCGACAGAGCAAGACTCCGTCTCAAAAAAAAAAAAAAAAAAAAAAAAGAAAGAGTCAAACATACTTGTAGCATGAAGAAGAATAAGACTGTTGCAAATACCTCTATCAAATACTTTTATCCATTCCAAAAAAAACCCTGACATTAAAAAAATAATAATAAAGTAGGTCACAAAAAGATTGGAAGTACCACTTTTCTTCAGATATGATTTCTCAGTATAGCCGGCTACTAGTTTTCATCAAATGCAAGCAAGGTGACACAATCAAGGAAACATTCCCATTTTGGAATCCTTTTTGGAAACTTCAGAAAACATTAACACTTTCAAAATAGTGAAGTTTCTTTACCACAAAACTTCTCCTGAAGAAATCTCAGTATACTGTAGGCAGATAGTACACCTTACTGCCAGAGAACACATCTGATATTGTGGCACTGGTAAAGACAGCAGCTCTCCATGTCATGGTCACCCACTGCTTTCTTCATCAGTACGCACTAGGGTGCAAGACTGTCATCAATTCTGAAAGAAATCTTATCTCTTGTTGTGAAAGTATTCTACTGTTTCAAGTGCCAACCCTTGAATAATCGCCTAAGAGGATTTGTCATGAAAAATCTACTATTGTGAAAGTTGCCAGATTCACGAAAGCCAAGACTTTCAATCAAGAGCTTCTTGAGAGGTTTTGTCAAGAAATGGGAGCTCTATGAAAGTTCTCTGCTATATGTAAGTTCACTGCTTTCAGAAGACAAATTCTACAGCCTGATACTGTTGTTTACAGGGTAAAATACACTCTTTTTAAAGAGTTTAACTCTTCAACCTTGAAAGTAAAATATGGAGTCATAATCTTTTCCTTCCTAACACACTATTAATGATACAGATCTTGCCAAAAATGATCTCAGTAACTTGAAGGCAAAGAAAATGATGCAACATGAATTTATCTCAAGTCTTGGAGAATTCTTATTTCTTGACAAGTCTACTTTCATGAGGCAAGAGAATCTTCAGATTCCATTTACTCTTTTCTCTTTTGTAAAATAGCATTTTCAGCACTTTTTACCAAAGTCAACACTGACTGGATATCAAAGATTGGATATAAAAGTTGCAAAGTCAAAGAGCATAGTTTCAACTTGTTATTTTATAAGTTAAATAGCAGTTTTTTCATTAAAATTTCTTATTGAACAGAAATAAAGCTTAATTTTGGTTAATTTGTACCACTTAGATTTATTCACTGCTCTCAGGTAGTGGCCACTGGTTTTTGTATTAAAAAAAGTGACATAGTTTTCATGAAGGTTCTTTTACATTCTGTTTAAAATAATATATTTCAATGTAATAAAAACTATGTGCAAAATTTTATGTACACTATGTACATTTTTTGGTGGGAGAACATTTATACCTTCCATCAGACTTTTAAAAGGTATGTAACACAACTTAAGACCCCCTGGCTTAAATCTAGTGTTCTGTGCCTCCACATTACAAAATCTGTCTATTTTATTACAAAAATTGTTTTACCTGACTTTTTTCCCACTACCAAGTTATCTGCTACTCATCAACTCGGTTTTAAATTTCTACCATCGCTTTTGCTACTGCATTTTAATTTTTTTTTGAGATGGAGTCTCGCTCTGTCACCAGGCTGGAGTGCAGTGGCATGGT